GCTGTTCGTTCGGTATTTCAGTGGACTCACATCTCTCTTCAAAAGTGTAAGACACCAACCTAACGAGAAACTGTCACAGAAACAAGCCACGTTATTTTTCAAGAACCTGAACCGCAAGAGGATCTAAATTACTCAGAAAATTTAGTGGATGAAGCTGAAGAAGAATGTGTGACCCACTGTGAAAATGTGAAAATTGATACAGACTCGAACAGATGAGATACAGGAGGACATCGAAACAGCTCTAAGACAACAACTAGCAGATCTTAAAAGTGAGCTTGAAAAGGCCCATCGACGAATTGAAGCTCTGCAAAATCAACTGGTTAGTGTAGAAAGATTTCAAAACAATAGCAATGCCATCAACTTTTACACTGGATTTGGTAGCTGGGATGTGTGTATGGCTGTTTTTAAATACCTCAACCCTGGTGGTAAGGGCAAAAACATTAATGATTAGCTTTCTTCAAAACCAAATGTGTCTTCAGATGTTTATGACGAGGATGGACCAGGACAGAAGTAGATCACTGAGACCAATTTATGAATTTTTCCTTGTGATGTGTAGGCTAAGACAAGGTTTTCCTGAAGAGCACTTGGCCCACTTTTGTCATGTTTCAATATCAACAGTTAGCAGAATTTTTATTACTTGGATCAACTTCATGTACTTAAAACTAGGGCAGATAAACATTTGGCCTTCAAGGAAGGCTATTGATGACACGATGCCCAAAGATTCAGCTCTACGAGAGTAATAATATTATAGATTGCACTGAGGTGAGATATCAAATGCCCAGCGGTTTGCATTTGAATGGGGAGTTGATCAGCAACTGTAAACATCACACCACCCTAAAAGGGTCAATTGCCATTTCTCCTGAAGGAGCAATCACTTTTATCAGCCACTGGCAGCATATCAGACAGGGAGATTGTTGTCAGCAGTGGATTGCTAGATCTGCCTTATCAGGATGGAGACTCAGTCATGGCTGACAAGGGCTTTACAATCTAGGACTTCCTGCCTTTAGGAATATCACTAAACATTCCTCCCTTTCTTGGAAGCTCTGATCACATGCCAGCACAAGATGTTATCCGCACACAGGAGATTGCAAGCCTGCGTATTCATGTTGAGGGTGCTATTAACAAAATTAAAAACTTTCACATATGGGATAGGGTAGCGCCTCTCCATCAATTTGCACTGGTGAATCAAATGTGGGCAGGTTGTGCCATCTTATGTAATGCACAATCAAGTATATCTATTTAAATTCAATGCTATTGAAAATGAAGAAAAAAGTGTTTATTACTATACACGGTATCATTTACTTACTTTTTGAATTTATGAATAGAAAAGGACAATACAATAATTTAATGTGATGTCCAAGAAAAAAAATCCATACTCTCACTAGGTGGGTGTCTTTTGGTTTTGAATTCCCACCCCCACCCCGCCCCCAACAGTTCATGCATTTCTTTAAAAATTTTAGTCTTTAAAATCCCTCTCCCCCTCGGAATTTCAAGTGACCCTCCTTGTGTAGGGTATGGATATTTGTGAAACCACACTTTTGATTTAGTGAATAGAGCGTAAGTAGTTTTCCATGAATACACCATGGTCTGCAAACTATTGCAAAGCTGTCTATTTTAGGAAAAATAGAAATGTGTGCCAGGGACAGCATAGTGAACTGCCAAGGCCATTTTAAAATCTGAAAACTGTAAGCTTCATTTACATATACATGTGCAATGTGATAATACTTTCAGGTATCTTATCTTTGGTTCAGTTATCCATATTTACTATTATTGTGCAGAACACTTCATAAGTGAGATGAGCAATGTTCTTTCATTTTTAAGATATTTTTCCTGAAATTTCATGTATATAGATTACACCTGAATTTTAACATTTGGGGTACCAATGATTCGGGTTTCATTATCTCAGAACTTACTGAGCAAAACCAAGCAAAACCATACATTTTCTGGTTCTGCAAGAACAAAGCAACAAACTAAAGTAAAAATTTAGTCCTTTACTACCAATATGGGCCCCCTGGAGTGATTTAACTTTCACAATGACCACACCCAATACACTACATCAAAATTCTATCTCATGAAAAATGCATTTCTAAATTGTACTGAGAACACTTTTAATCAATAGTGTAAGAGTGAAGCTATAACATGATGAAGGAAATTTGAGCTATCATCATTCCTGTTGTCATAGCAACCAAACCTCCACAGAAATAATACTTTTAAGTTCTGGAAACAATATCTCATAAACTATGACTTATTCCTTCAAATGCTACCATCATTTTGATTCTTTACATGTCAACAATAAATGCTGAAAATTTCAGCCAAATTGATTGAGTTCTTTTA